TAACTTAGATATGATAATGTACATTTTGTATTTTGTTTTATTTTAATTTTATTTCATTTTCATATTTTACTTCCTAATTTGCATAATTGACTGACCTTGAAGGACATTTTAGACCAGTAAACAGAAAATGACCTATGGTAGTGTAAATATAAATTAGTCCGTTAATATACTCGACAGGTAATTTATTCTGATTTTTTTGCTCTTCAATAACTCATATTCATTGATTATGTAGATATTAAATTATCAAAACTGATAGAAATGAAGGATAAATAAAAGTCATAACTTTAGAGGATAGCACATTGTTTAGCTGCTACTTAATTTCACCAACGGAATCAATTATTTAAGATGTTTTACATCGATCTAATTTTATTTCACCAAATGTATGGAAAAATTCTATTTTTTATAACCCATAAAAACTAAAGTGATTGCTTGGAGTAAGTTGAATAGCAGAAAAGAGAGAGGAATGAACGCGTTTTAACATATTCACAATTAGATGAACACTTGATAGAGTAAAGAAAAAAACAAACGATTTAGTATGTAAGCGATTCATCCACCCAATCATCTGTAAGATAACTGGTGATATATTCTGGTTGATATTAACAAATGGTTCATTTCAGTGACTAAACAAATTTTTTGTTAGATTTCCAATGTCAGTTATACGAAGCATATTGAAGTGATCTATAAAAATAGTAGTAACAAAAATTATGTGATAAAAACTACAGTATGATAACGATGAGTAAGAATTGTAATTTCAGTAAAGCATTCAAGCTGGATGATGAAACTAATCTGGTAAATCATGGAGAGATAAAACTTTAATCCATATTATGTTTCATACTAAGTTGGACGTCTGAAAGAAGTCTGAAACAATGTAAGATGATAAAATCTAAATTGAGTTTCTATGTGTTGGGATGAAATAAATAACTGTTGTTATGATTCATATAACAACTAGTTTTAAGCTGCTAATATACATATATATATATGACCTATGAAAAAAATAAAATTTTCCCAATACATTATTTACGAACAACAGCATACGGTTTGTAACAGATCCATCAGCCACTAATGTTTTCATAACTAACACAACAACAAAGTAGTGATATGAGGTTAACAGACAAATGCATCAAAGAAAATAAATTAATAATGGAGTTTATTATAGTCAAAAGGAAGATAAAATATACATAAGGGAAAAAGCAAGATCCTCAAATTCAATACAGAAAAAACCAACCCAATAACACTTGATGGAGAAACTCTAGAAGAGGTGGAAACATTCACGTATCAGGTTAGCATCATCGATGAACGTGAAGGATCTGATACAAACGTAAAAACGAGGATCGGCAAAACAAGGACAGCATTCCTACAATCGAAGAATATATAGAAATCGAAACAACTGTCAGCCGATATCAAAGTCAAAATCTTCAATACGAACGTCAGGATAGTTCTACTGTGTGGAGCTAAAACCTAGTAACTACCACAACCGTCATCAAAACAGATCAGGTATTTATAAACAGTTATCTACTCAAGATACGCAATATCCGTTGGCTAAATACAATCAGAAACATGCTACTGTGGGAGAGAACAAACCAACTTCCAACTAAAATTATTATGAAAAGACGCTGGAAGTGGATTGGAAACACATTAAGGAAATCATCAAACTGCATCATGAAACAAGTGATGACTTGGAATCCTAAAGGGAAACGAAAAAGAGGAAGGTCAAAGAACACACTGCACCGAGAATTGGAAGCAGACATGAAAACGATGAATAGCAACCGGAAAGGATTTCCAATAAAGAGTTGGATGGAGAATGATGGTGAACGGCCTATGCTCCTCCATGGGGGGTAACAGGTGTAAGTAAGTAGGTATAACCAATTTGTTGGATGTACATAGATTTGCAAATCTCTCCCCATTTCCGATCCTTTCTCTTAGTTCATGTCCTACCATCATATCTTCATAACCGTTGTTGTCCATTCAGACTTTGGCGTTTAGATCTCCCATCAGGATAGTCAGGTACTTTCCAGGGCACTTCGTTATGATCGGTTGTAGCCTCTCGTAGAACCAATCTTTATCGATGCCATTGCTATCATTGGTAGGTACACAACATTAGGTAAAATTCATTGTAATTCCTTCCTTCCTTGTTTTGAAGGATGCTTTGATGATCCTAGATCCATGAGATTCCCATCCTATAAAAGCATTTTGTGTTTCTTTGGATAGCAACAGAGCAACGTCCTGAGTGCGCGGAGTATGAAAATCAACTGGAATCGAAACATGTTATAATGACCACAAAACGTATCTCTATGGGTCAGAAGATATAAATGTATTAATGAGCATGTGACCCCGTTGTTTTGAGATTTAAGAATATAAACTATAAAACAATCAATATTCAGTTACTTTTAATATATCATTCATTGTCTGATAAGTTAACCTACATAATTGGAAATTGGATTTATCTTACGCTTATTTTTTAGATTAAGTACAACTTCAATATACCATATGAAAGAAACTTATTTTTACAGTGATTGTCAATAATAGCATGCTTGTTTTCAGTATAGGTTGTGGAGATTGTCGAGTTTTTTTTAATTGAGATAATGAATGGATCAATGCTAGACCACCATTGGAAGCTTGAAAGCACTGGACGGTCGTTTAATCTTCGTATGGGATTCCTGTGTTCGAATTCCGCGTACGGGATCGTGGATGCGCACTTCTGAGGAGTCCCATACTAGGGCGAAACAGCCTTCCAGTGCCTCTAGGTATTCACTGGTAGTTTAACATTGATCGATTCACGATCTCAACAAAAAGAAAACGTGTTTGTTTGTTTAAATTTCAACCGGTTAAACCATACAAATGAAACAATGATTGATTTCTCTGAATTTCCGAGATTTTCTATTACCATTGAATTCCCTCTTTGAAATGATGCAAAATTTTTGTGAATCGCAGTAACTTTGCGTTTTCGATCAGTTGTTTTCCAATTATTATTATGGACACTTCCTTACAATTTTGAATAGGATTTCACAGGACAGTCCATTACGCAATAAAATGGCTAGTGTCCTACTAATTTGAGATTTTTACTCAACTAGGTTAAACTCTTAATTGTTTAACTATTTCACCAACTGTAGCTTAACTGAAATGATTTTTAAAGTACGATTATCTATTCTCCTTACTTTGGGTCGATTCATTATTCATACAATGAGTTTCAGTATCCGTTTAATTAGGCTGGATACCCAGTGAGATAATGAAATATTTCTTTTCCATCATATTGATGTTGTTCTGCATATTTTTAATTCAGATTGAATCGCACATCATATAAGTCAAAACTGGATGACATGTACAGAATAGGTTACAAACTGTTTAACTTATGTAGAGAATTACGCCATAACATCCGTGCTCCTGCTTACCGAAGGATTAACTTAAGACCTTGGTTTAGATCACTGAGTAATCCTACCGAACTCATTAGATCTTAATTTCATAAAATCAGTATCGAAATAAATATCACACAGCAAACAGAGAGCCCAAGTGATAAAGAGAGAAATGAATAAGGTAGATGGCGACACCACATTAAAAAAAACTTATAATTACACTCATTGGAAATTAGAATAATATGGTGAAAAGTAATGTATAATTGCCGAAACACACACAATAGTGAGATATAAATTTAAAAACGAGTTGTTAAGATTTCTCTATGATAATTTTTTGATATGTGTCTCAACATAGTTGCAAAAAGTATACACGCACATATACACAGGTGATCAGTAAAGATTTCTATTCAAGAAAGTACCAACCTGTATTACTACGACTAGTGTCGAATAAGGAGAAAATAATTTATTTTCATAACCATACTATTTTTACTACAAACACTAGATTTAAGAAACTAAGTGGCGAGTCATGAATTTTAATAAACAGCAGACCCATGATTAGTAAGCTGGATTATTATTTTCAGTATAAGTAGTCGGATTGTTAGTGGTAATAGAAATGAGAAATAACTTCGAATTCATTAATTTCTTGGTCCTCTAGTCTTAAATCTTAGCACATACGTCCACTAAATCCTGGTTAGGTTAGATGCAAGATCCGTTCAATTGAAAGAATTCTAGCCTTCTGCTAGAGGCTAGGTTGTCGGACGTACTTATTGTCGAGAGTGACAATAAATCCTAGAATAGTAGACCTAGTCAATAAGAAAATCACTTAAATAATATCTAGTGTCATTTCAGTCGACCAAAGATATAACAATGACTTTCTATATCAGCCGTGATGTTTCAACTACATATTTCGGCAAGCTTCAATTTTACTCATTCAAATAAACTTCCTATGACTTGATGGCATCCAATATCAACCCAGTGGTGAAGACAAACAACACATATCACGAAGTGTATTCGTTGGAGAAGACTACTACTTCTTTTGGAGCACACGTATGGACTTCAACCATGGTTTAGTGAAACTATGTGCATGCATCTGTGCTTGATGGAGTGCAAAGTTACAAGAACCATTAAATGAGTTCAAGTCGGAGATATGAACGTCAAAGATATGTGTAAGAAAAAACTAGCTAGGTACATAGTAGAGCATGTATTACTCATGATTTTTTACTTTTCTGTAAAAGTAAAAGTAATATTTGTTGGCAATCTTGAGAAAAACGTTAGCAAGTGTCAGTAGATTCTAACAGTATCCTTCGAAAAAAAGATTTTCATAAAGCTACCATGTACTTATCAGTCAAACAATTATCCTGTTTTACATTTAAAAACAACAGATGAATTACTGAGATCCACATGCAAAAGAATTTCATGACATAAATGCAGCATTTCAGTTCATCGTTTGGATCTCGAGTCTGACGATCCCCACACACATATACACATTCTAACTTCAATCAATTCTCGATATCGTAAGGTCATAATATTTGATGACGAATAATCATAATTTTAATTGTTAATGGTACATGAAGACGAATCTTACAAATGATATCTTATTCAAACTTTCAACACTAAACAGTAAAAGCTTTCACAAATTATTCCACTAACCTGGTATGTGAAATCTAATGAAAATACTTCCCCATTTGATTGATGGCTATGTACACCTAGAGGATAAATAGCTAATTGTTTTTTCGCATTAATCACATGATCACATGTAAACGTGACAATTTGATTGGATAATTTACCAGATGGTATAAATATTTGTTCAATAGCTTCGTTGAATGGTTGCATTGTACCACCGACTAAAAGAACACTTCTAGCTTCTTGCACTAGATCTAATTAGAAATTTTGATACATTGATGATAAAAATAATGTTTATTGAATTTAAAAAGAAAACAGTGAATATTACCCCGTAATAGACGAAGATTGTCGCTTAATATTAATTATGGGTGAACTGCAAATCAAAGTTTAGTTTTGAAGATAAATGAGAGGTCATTTTTAGGAGAAAAATATTTTAATCTTGATTTAACCAAACTTATTACAAGTAAAGAATCGTTTCTAATTTTCTCAAAACAAAATTGCATTTAGTCACAAATTTATCTAGTATTGAGTTATGTATTAGTCAGAATTCAATAATATTCACTTTTATGCTACATCGTATTTAACTAAAAAATACCACACAAACCATCAGACTAATAATAAGAATGTCTTCTAACACCTATTGGCTTCATAAATTCTAGTCTGTGAGCAGTGATATTTAAACAATTGTGTTATGATGGTAGACGTGTGTTGATTGCTCAAATTTAAAACAGCTTACATTAAAAACTGTCTATTTAAACAACCACTGGAAAAGTAAGGAGAAATGAATAGGGATTTTGACCTAGTTTCAAAACTCTTAAACAATGTGCACACAACTCATAGAAGAATCAAATTAAGGACTTTGATTCTTTTTGTGAATTTCACACGTTTGGACCAATGATTCAGTATTTAATACTTTACAGTGACCTACTTTTGTCTACAGAACGCGATTGGTTCAATGAAAACAATTATTATTATAACCAATTGTACCAGTGACTGTTTTACTGTGCTCGTTTGTTTAACTGTGCTAATGACAGCCATTATACTCACTCTCCCGTTGACTTTGAACTTGTACGAATTCGGTTACGCTCAGTAACCACCCTTGTACTCCTTTGGCACGATCTCGGTATTCTTTCGATACCACGAGATCGCCAACAAATACATCTCGACTACAGCCATCATCTGTCTTCTGATATTGGCCTACGGGGATCTTATTGGTTAATTGGCACGTAGTCTTGTAGCGGTGTTCATAGTCAAGCTCAACTCGACACCACGCTACATTTGGTGAGCCAAATTTTGGAACACGCCTCAACTTCGGTCAAATCTTCTGCAACTGGTGAACCTACATCTACGACCACTTGGCAACCCCAACCAAACCTTCCAAAGAAGTCAATTTTGGTCAGTCTATCGCTTATCTATCCACGTCTGTCATATATTTTCATATTAATTTTTAACATATAATATATTTGACATGATGGATAACGATAAGAATAGTATTAACGTAATAGACTCTGACGTACAGGTTATACACTTTCGACCTGTATCTTTTATTCCTCACGATCCCGAAGTTTGGTTTGCTGCTATAGAGTCTCAATTTGAGACCCGTCATATTACAAGCCAACGGCAGAAGTACGCCTACGCTCTCGAATGTTTACCGGGAGACAATTTAGTAGCTGTCCGTGAGGTTGTCCTCAATTCCAATGTCCCCAATGTTTACGATCGTCTCAAGGAGGCGATCTTCAGACATTTCCTCCCATCGAGGGAGGAACGATTGAGGACGTTATTAGCACGTCACCCCCTGGGTGATGCTAAACCGAGCCACCACCTCACGCGCCTGCAATCTTTTGCAGGACCCACGGCAGCCGATTCTGAAATCGTTGAAGAACTGTGGCTCGAATCTCTACCAGCATTTATCCAACCTACAGTTACGGCCCTGCTCGAGGACGCACCACTGAAACAGGTAGCCCTCACAGCAGACAAAATTATAGCTAGGACTGGCAACCGAGACAACTACGTAGTTGCCTCAACGTCGCGTCCGAAAGTCGATATCGACGGCAGCCACTCCTCGGCTCAAGGTGACAGGGAAGGGTGTATTCACACACGTCTTAGTTTTCGAGACCGTTGTAACGTACCCCAACCCTACGTCCCTCGAGTCCGCTCACGCTCTCGAAAAGCCGTCAACACTCGCCCAAAGAGGGCATCTTCCAAGCCACGCCAAAAGGCGGCTTCGGAAGCGAGTGAGGGTTGGTGCTGGTTTCATCGATCCTTCGGATCTGGTGCCCGCCGTTGTCGAGCCCCGTGCTCATACAAGGCTGGAAACTCCAAAGCCGGCGAGTAAAAGCGGCCGTACTCGCCGGCCCTGCCCCCCAGCTTGGCCGTTTATTTTACGTGCACGATTATCGCACAAACGCTAGGTACCTAGTGGATACAGGAGCCCGAGTTTCTGTCGTACCACGAGGTAGCATCAAGTCACAAGCTACAATGCTTCGACTACGCGCTGCAAATGGCTCAGCCATTCCTACCTACGGTACACGACAACTCGCGGTCAACCTGGGCAACCGACGACGGTATCTGTGGACGTTCATCATTGCTGATGTTCCCACAGCCATACTAGGTATTGATTTACTACAGCACTATGAATTGCTAGTCGATTCACGTAGGCTGCAGCTAATCGATACTTCGTCGAACAGTAAATTCATGGGCTTTAAAGCTCACACAAACGCGTACCGAATCCTCGGCACTTTTTATTCGCGTGACGATAAATTCCAAGCCTTATTCGAGAAATTCCCCAGAATAACTAAACCACTCAAGGAGATTTCATCGGTGACCAATCGTGTGGTACACCACATAGTCACCCGCGGACCACCAGTCACGGCAAGACCACGCCGACTGGCACCGGACAAATTAGCCTTCGCTAAACGTGAGTTTGACAATTTACTATCTGCTGGTATTATTCGTCCTTCTCACAGTCCTTGGGCCTCTCCTTTACATATGGTGCGCAAAAAGGATGGGGTTAGTTGGAGACCATGCGGCGATTACCGAGCATTAAACGTAGTTACGCGCTTTGATAGCTACCCCATCCCCCACATACACGACATCACGGCATCGCTCAAGGGCACGCCTATCTTTTCTAAAATCGATCTGGTACGAGCATATCACCAGATCCCAGTCGCTCTTGAAGACATCGAAAAAACTGCTATCACGACTCCTTTCGGTCTGTTTGAGTTCCTACGAATGCCATTTGGATTACGGAATGCTGCTCAAACTTTCCAAAGGTTTATCGATAGCATAGTACGAGACTTGGATTTTGTTCACGTCTATATTGATGACCTGCTGATCGCATCATCAAGCGTAGATGAACATTATCAACACCTTACGCTATTATTCCAACGCCTTTCGGATAATGGAATACTAGTCAACCCAGAGAAATGTGAATTGGGTAAATCAGAAATAATATTTCTGGGTCACATCATCAGACAAGAGGGTATTCTGCCTTGCGAGGACAAAGTTCGAGCAATCAAGGAGTACAACGTGCCGTCCTCAATCAAGGAACTGAAGGCTTTTCTCGGTTTGGTTAACTTCTACCGACGTTTTATCCCTCACGCGGCAGAACGGTTAAGACCATTAACCGATTTACTACGCGGTAATCCACGCAAATTAGAATTGAACGATACCGCACGTACTGCATTCTCAGAGATCAAAACGGCTCTCGCTGAAGTTACACTTCTCGCTCATCCTGACCCATCAGCCACGCTTAGTATAGCGGTTGATGCATCAGATTTCGCTATAGGAGCCGTCATGCAACAGAATATCTCCGGTAGTTGGCAACCCCTTGAATTTTTCTCACGACGCCTTACTCCCACGGAGACGAGATATAGCGCTTTTGGTCGCGAGCTGCTTGCAGCCTACTGCGCCATCAAACATTTCCGGCACGCAGTAGAAGGACGCCAATTCATTTTATTCACCGACCATAAGCCCTTAACGTATGCCCTGCATACCAAGTCTCACCGCTACTCACCACGAGAGTGCAGACATTTGGACTATATCTCCCAGTTCACGATAGACCTTCGTCACATTAAAGGCGAGTCGAACTATGTTGCCGATGCTCTTTCACGTATCCAGACGAATGCAGTTACCTTACCGGTGCTCGATCTTCCTGCCATGACCGCCGCACAAGCAAATGATCCTGTCTGTACAGAAGCACCACAATCTTCGTCCCTTCAGTGTCAGGAAGTACCCCTAGCTGCTAGCTCAGGTACTATCCTATGTGATATTTCTACAGGTCTTCCTCGACCCATCGTACCCTCTAACTATCGCCGTCTCGTCTTCGATGCCCTTCACAGATTGTCTCATCCAGGTATCGCAGCCACATTACGTCTCATTGCTGCACGATACGTCTGGCCGTCCATGAATAAAGATGTCCGTATGTGGGTAAAGCAATGCTTACAGTGTCAACGATCAAAAGTGCACAGGCACGTAGCTGCCCCCATTGGCACGTTCGCTACGCCTGATGCTCGCTTTGATCACGTTCATATAGACATTGTAGGACCATTGCCACCATCGCATGGGTATGATCACATACTCACGTGCATTGACCGTTTTACAAGATGGCCCGAAGCTATTCCCATCACGTCTATCACAGCGGAGACAGTTGCTCACCGCTTCGTAGAACGATGGATAGCATTGTACGGTTGTCCCTCGACTGTCACGACTGACCGAGGACAACAATTTGAGTCCGCATTATTCTCCTCACTGACCAGGCTGCTTGGTACGGAACGCATACGCACTACCGCCTACCATCCAGCATCGAATGGTTTAGTCGAAAGGTTTCATCGCCAACTTAGAAGTGCTCTTCGAGCACACGAAAACGACAATTGGTACGAAACCTTACCGCTCGTTGTCTCAGGCATCAGAACGAGTTTGAAGGCAGATATCCAATGTTGCCGCTGAACTTGTATACGGCACGACATTGCGTCTGCCTGGTGAAATTCTTCACACCACGGAGCAGTAATGATTTCGGTAAATCAGACTACGTCCATCGACTGTCTGCATTTATGCGAACGCTGTCTCCGGTGTCAACTCGAATACAACATCGACAGGTCGCTCTCCCTCGAGAGTTATCTACCTGTTCACATGTTTTCATACGAGTAGATTCGGTACGCAAACCTCTACAACAGGCTTACGAAGGCCCTTTTCACGTGATCTCTCGTCACGAAAAGACCTTCAAGGTTGATCGACACGGCCGCGTCGAGATCGTCAGCATTGATCGTCTCAAACCAGCACACGTTGATGACAGTGCCCTACCCGATAACTTGAGACTCAATGCTAGACCTACCAAACCTTCTAGCGGGATCTCTACGTCTACCTCGGATCCCACGCTAGATACATCAGAGACCTCGTTCTCACGTCCCAGTCAACAGCACGCATCATCTGCACCATCTACAGACGAGACTTCCATCTCACGTCCAGATCGGCAGACCACGCCGCCCTTGACCTCGGATGAGATCGCAAGCTCACGAAGTACGAACGAGACCACCGTCTCACGTTCCGGTCGCCGAGTACGATTACCCGTACGCTTTCGCGACTAAACGCACATTCAATAACAGATACGGTGTAGGATTATTCCTATACTACATGCATGCTACACTTTTCTTTTTCTTGATCTTTTTTTGTATCCTGAGCCCACGCCTCCGACCATCGCTTGTTCGGTAACGTCGACTTCAGTCAACTTCGGCAAAAGCTGGTTTGGCCACCCACGTTCTAGTCAACGCACTCAGTCGATTATCTGGTCTCGAATTCGCCTGGCATACGCTTGGTCGTTATGGTCGCTTCCGGTTTCTTGGTTCAACGTTGTTTCGTCCTACGTCTGCAGCGTTTTCTGGTCCGCATCCCTACGAACGCAATCATCAGATCCTGGATACAAACCACTCTGGTGTGGTATGCTAATTCGACCAACAAATACAGCACACTTCTCCTGGTACCGTTCTGCGCAAAAGACTTTCGTTGGCAACTCGAGGATCAACGATCACTTCCTGTTCCGCCAATTTCCTCCGCTCTACAACCGCACTTCTGCCGATCAGTCCTACGAATCAAACCGCTACCTATCGAAAGTGTAAACTCTTTCTAGCGGGGGGCTCCTGTAGTGACCTACTTTTGTCTACAGAACGCGATTGGTTCAATGAAAACAATTATTATTATAACCAATTGTACCAGTGACTGTTTTACTGTGCTCGTTTGTTTAACTGTGCTAATGACAGCCATTATACTCACTCTCCCGTTGACTTTGAACTTGTACGAATTCGGTTACGCTCAGTAACCACCCTTGTACTCCTTTGGCACGATCTCGGTATTCTTTCGATACCACGAGATCGCCAACAAATACATCTCGACTACAGCCATCATCTGTCTTCTGATATTGGCCTACGGGGATCTTATTGGTTAATTGGCACGTAGTCTTGTAGCGGTGTTCATAGTCAAGCTCAACTCGACACCACGCTACAACTTCATGTTTCTAAAGTTTTCCATGTTTCGATGCTTCTCTAAAATCTCATCGTTTCTCCAGTCAAATTCATTCACATGGTCGGAAAACTATAAGAACGTAATGAAATTTCTAGAAGCATGGGACTAAAATAAGTTGGTAATCAATAAACTGATTGACAAAGATCTAACCCGTCTGATAGGCAAGGCCAATTTTCACAAATAGCATGCCTATGGGCACGTGTTAGTTAAAGGATAAATGGTATATGAGATGTTGACGGATGAATCCTATTGGTTGAGATTTGACTCAGATATGTGAGAGACGTATATATATATATATATATATATATATATATATATATATATATATATATATATATATATATATATATATATACCACCGAACATAACTATACCAAAAAGATTAGTCACAAGGCCAGAGGACAGCCGAAAAAGATAATAACTACAGATGCAAACACACACATGTCAATCTAATAACTAAGACAACTAATCAAAAACGAGACTGTCAGAACGAGCAGATATAACACTTATGGAACAACTGAAAAGCTCACTACTACTTGGGGTAGATGTTATTGTTGTTGTCCAGAATGACAATGAAAATTCTGCGATTAAACCTTTTGTCATCGAGAACACAATATCATTAAGAGAAAACGAAGAGGTTGTACTGAGAACTTGTTTGACATTTCCCCCCATGAAATGATGTAAGATTCTTCTCTGATAACTTCTACTTACATAATATAAACTTTAGTTTACTTGAGAACCATATTTCTGTTCGGACTACTGATTCCAACAACAGTACCGAAATTTAAATTTTAGATTATCCTTCATTATTTTTTGATAGCTAATTGAGAATAATTTTTTAAATTTTACTCTCTCTATTCTCAATTTGTCACATGATTTGAATATACAATGAAGAAAGAACCTAAATTGCTACGTGCTGTAACAGATTAACAATGATTTTCGTGAGTTTATTTGGTCTATATCTTACGGACGGTGATCAACTAGATATATTGTAAACTTAGCTGAACATTAAAAACCACAACTGAAGATTTAAAATAGCGCTTATTGAAAAATCCATTTTTCTGGCTGATTCTAGTGAATTTTTTGGGAACTAATGCATTCCCCAACACAGTGATTGCATTAAAAACAAACAAATTCATGTTTTACATAGAATAAAATTAATTCAAGTTTCTAACCTTTTAAATACCTTCCAGGATTTAAAAATACCACACGTAAACACAAATCTTGAATATCATCTGTAAGATTACTTGACGAAGACAACAGATCAGATGAGATTGATAGATTTAATTTTGTAGAGTTCTTAACAGGTTCAATAATTATACGTGCATCTTCTTCACAAAATTCTAAAGCTTTAAGAAAGCTATGAAATTTAAATAAACTGGAGCCGATTCCTTCAGACTTTTCAATATCTATTTTAGATTTTTTATTTGAAATACGAACCTGAAATTGGATCGAAAACTTGGAAGTGAAATTCAAGAAATATCTTTTAAAACATCTTGTATCTTTCTGATAGTCTAAATACATGTTTAAAAATTCTGTTTATCCAGATATGCTTACATCCTAGATAAATTTCATGTTTCATTATTTCAGATTTTACGAGTGATCTAATCTTCGGAAGCTGGAGTTAGTCAGTAGGGCACTCTGAACCTACGTTTCGCACAAGTTGGCATATATCAAGAGAATTGACGCCTTCTCAAAATATCCCACGAAATATCCAGCTACTCAGACCAGCGGTCATAACGGAACTTCATTGGTGGAATCCGGTTAGTACTAACGGATTACGTAAAAACACGACATTGCTTACTAATCAGTAACTCACCAATTTTACTGATACTATTTACGCAATTTACTAAATAATAACAAATCATTTACTGGGGTACAGATTCATGTGTTTGGCTCCGATTTAAACTCGAAATGAAGCATACAGCTAGCATTTGTCGGTCCAAACTAAAAAAGGTTGCTAATTTTAACACTAACTATGCCTATAGAAAAGAGGTTTTGATTAAAACTCATAACAGATACTTTGAGTGGAGACATCCCAATAGACGATTTCCTAATATTATAGTTATTAAGCAAAAATGAAATATTCAAGTGAAAAATATTGAGTTAACTTGTGAAGATCCAGAACAGTTTGTACAAATGAATTTTTGCTTGTAAATAGAGTAACCTATTACGCTATGAGAAAAATTTTAACTTTAACTAATCGAATTAAGCAACCATTTTTTAACTTACCTGACTTGTATCTCCACATTGACTATTGTCATCAGAATATTTTCTTTTCATAGTGTTTAATAAATTTGTCATTTGTGAACAAGCTGTTTGATTAATTGGAACATTTTCTAAATGTTTCGAATTTTGTTGTATATTATTAGACCATTTAGAGAAACCAATTAATTTCATGATAAAATGTTGATATTCTAAACAATCGATAAATTCACTTAAATTTATATTGTCCAAGTTTGATTCAGAAAATAATTTATTCACTGTTTTAATGATAACATTAGCCGATATGGAAGATAATGATAGTTGAATGTTTTTAAGTGTAGTATTTAAATAAAGTTTTAATTGTTGAATAAAATGTCTCATTTGACGTAGTCTTAATGCAAGAAATGATGATAAACGTGAACGGTAATATTGTAAATAACCAGAAAATAATTCTTCTAATTTGTATAAATCATTCACCAATGACAAACTGACTGACATTGATGAGGCTGTTGCTTCTAACAAATTATGCGCTTCATCAATTATAATAACTGAATTTTTTAGTTTTAAACCAGATGTCAAACGATTTGACGGTTGTAGCAATGACGAATACGGTACTAAAACTAATTGAGCTAATGGTAAACCCTTACGATTAGCGTAATATGGACACCCAATATGAGACGATAATTGTGTATCATTTACTGTTATCTCGTCTTTTTGGCATTCTTTCAATGAACTACTTGATTTAGATGACTTACTTGACTTTCTATCTCTAATACTACTGGTTATATTCAAAGCTGAATTACCAATTAATAGGTGTTTGGATAAATTATTGACAGCTGTTGAGTTACGCATTGGACATCTAAAGCCTTTCGATTGACCTTGCTCACGATTACGTGGTCGATTCAATTCAAGACAAGCAATATTAATTAAATCTGGGTGTTTTAACTGATAAATTGTTTCATTAGTGCATAACAAATTTCTTGATGATAATTGAATTATTGTGACTTTATTAAATAATGTTTTACATTTTACAAATTCTTTGGCTATTTGTCCGAGTTGTGAATGAGTACGACTACAATAAATTATATGTAATAATCCATTATCAGATTGTTGTTGTTGACTTTCAAACTGTTGATCCAATTCAATTTCATCTAATTCGATCATTTTATGTTTATCGAATAAGTTTTCGTCAGGATTACATAAAAATAATTCATCATCACAGTCATACTGATCATTGGAAATGTCTATTATATTTTTCAATTGTTCAATATCTATAGTTTCAGAATTCGCTTCAGTTATGGTCATTTCATTAACATTTAAAAAGTTAGTTTGATGCTTAAATAGTATTGATGAGGAAGATGTGAAAGATGATTTCATTTTCTCAATTAAATGTAAATTAGATTGATAGATCAAAAGATCTTCAATTTGTGGTTCGATTTGTTGTTTTAACAAACGATTTTTATCATATTCTACTATCCAATCATATTCCTTAGAATTATTCTCTTTATTTTCATGATTGATTAATTTTAATTGAGATTGAAGACTATTTAATAACAAAACCTGTTTTTCGTTATAATCTAAAAGCCAACGTAATGTTGCTGTTAATAGACTCAATGATTTGCCAGTACCAGTTGGACTTTCAAATATACCACAACAGTTAGTTTCTAATGTCTTATAGACTGCTTGCATCAATTCTAATTGTTGTGAATATGGTTTCGGATAGGGAAAATCAATAAATTGATCTGGTATGTTTATTAATGAATGTGATTTATCATTTACACTATCAACTTCGTCTTTAGTTGATGCCGCAGTTTGTTTGTTTTTGTCATTAAACGTTGGTGTAAGGTTAGTGATATTTAATTCCATGAGAATTTGATCTCCAATTGAATCATTATAAAAATCATCATCCATTATGTATATATCTATGAAGATAGAAGAAACAAACAACAGAACTTACATCATGGAGTTAAACCGTAATTTTGTTAGTGCTTGCATAGGTCAACGTCTCAAACCTCTGATTTTCAGCTGCGAAAGAGGTGACATTACTTAGAATCGTTCACTTTGTTTGCTTAACAATATTGAATCCCGGCGTTCCTTAAAACAACCTTCCCTTTGTCTTTCCGAGCCCTATTCTCAAACGTTATTCTCCCTAATTTTCATTGTCACCAGGTTATTCTGATCTGTTATGTTACATGCTTTCTTAATTTTACTCCGTTGTGCTAATATGGTACAGAAACTTGAGCAACGTACGTTTGAACCAGGCTCTAGGTTGATGATGACTGGATGACAAGGCACTGATTTGCGCAATCTCTGGGACTCCGACAGAGGAATCGTGATGGACTAATAGATCCAAGTTCCATACGGCTTCCTTACGTGCCACGGCACCATTTCATAAACCGATCATGATGCTTCACTTTTCCTACCAAGTCTCAGCGTAGGCAAATAACGTATGAAATTGAAGATGTCTCATAAATTATCTTAATTCCCAGCTGTACCGGTATATGCGTAAATCAAACAAGATTTTAAAACATCAACAGAATTCAAGGAACCCAGTATACGCAATGCTACAAAAAGAGATTGCCATCAGATCTGAATAGTTAGCAAAAAAATCACACTTAATCTAAGCAATAATAAACACGAAGGATAAAATTCAAGATTTATGAGCAATTTATCAGTAAACTATTTCACCAATGGGTCGTGGGTAGATGTTAAACCACAATAATTACTTGATTCTTATACAGTTCTGTCTATCAAGTTGTATTGTGAACATTAATCTCGAAGTGGTGGAAAAGATTCTTAACTCAGAAAGATTAATTTGTTGCAGTTGCGTACTCACAAAACGATTGAATGGAATCAAGTCAAAGAAGTTTTTAATTATTTAAAAGAATAAATATTGGCATAGAGATACCAAATTTGTGTACCACACAATAAAAAAATGAGAAAGGAAGGTGAGTATAAAATTAGTGTACGAGAATATAATCATAATGGGAGAAGTTCAGTTAGAAAAATACAACCAGAAAGCATCTCTCCAATACGAGAATTTCCTCTCACATATATGAAGTAAATAAGAGGGAATTACAACAGGACCGTCACTGGCTTCAGTTCTCAGCCATGTCTGAGTATGTTTCAAATCCCTGTGTTGCATTATACCTAGGAACACCGAACAGACAGTTATGAAGGACCGGCAGATGAGTCCTATGTTGTTCTAATATTACGGAATTATGATATACAATGACCACCTCTCTACTTTTTCAAACACGTTTCAGAGCAGAAAATAATGCACGATGTGGAATTCGCTGGGACGAAGTTCGTAGGATGTGTCCAAGCCACTGAAATCGGTATTTTAAGATGATAACGGCAATTGAATTATAGTCACTGTACTTAAATACACGTTGCAAAACCTCCGCGCTACTGACATAGTGTTACCACGAAATGTTAGCAATTCTTCGAAGATGACGACGGTCAAACACGGAACTATATTTACAAGGAAATCAGTCGAAAGCAAAGCACGGACGGGTACATCAAAAAAAACTAAAGAAAACTATTGAAAAGCGATCGATTTATATTTATTAACAGAAATATAGTCATCGAAATCATATAGAGTTACGCGATGGAGTAGTGTTTTATTGTTTGATAATACAATTTCGATGGTTAAAATAAAAGACGCTAAGCAAGGGCCGCTCACGGGATCGAATAATTGACTTAAGATCTGGAATAATTTAAAGTTATTTTTACTTATTTATTTGAACGCATAAATGCTGGTACAAAGGGGAACCGAATACATATGTGCCACATAAGTCAATTGATTTGTGTGCAGACTGTGATACTATCCCGATGCCCAAACCGAGGCAATCAAAAACAAGATCACCAACCAGAATAAAACGTATTTTCTTAATAAATTAATAACAGGATTATATAAAACTTAACAGAAAAATAACATAACTAAAAATTATAAACCTTTTCAATATCAATTTTCTAGGTAGCTCATTATGAATTGAATCAAGTCCAGACTACTCGGTTCAATTCTCACTCGTTATATCAAGCTGAAGGATGGAGAAATTTATGTTTAAGATCTAATTATTCATACCAAACATAAAAACCTTATGAACATTATTAGTTATAATTGATCAAAATCTCAAGAAAAGATGATAATAACAATGATCAATGAATGCACAATTAGGGTGGATGAAAAAAGTAGTTGTTAGTCCGATATAATACTGATGCTTCATTTTAAACTGATGAGATCAAATATTGTTATGCAATATCTGAATGTAATCATATTTTACTTCTGTTAAGGTGCAATTTTTCACTGAGACTAAATCATTTAGCAGATATACAGGCATGAGCAACACCTTGATTGTGGGGGCTAATGATACCAACCAGTTACCCAAACAGAAATAGATGTAGACGCGGGTTCGAGCCTGGGACTTGGCTACTGAAAGTTGAGAGCCTTATCTACTAATTCACGTGTCAGAACTGGTGATTTTAAAGAAAAACATTGTATCACTAAGAATAATACTGAATAAAATAAGTATATGAACAACTTACACACTATTCAGTAATGAGATTTGTCAATAAAATATGCAAAGATTTACTGATAGCATTAAACACTAAGAACTTGTTAAGCCTGTTTAGATATTTCGTCATGAGCTGTTTAGATTTAAACACAACCACTGATTAAGAATCTAACGAAGCATCACAAAGTTCTGTGATGAATATGAGGAAAACGTTGATCAATCAAGGACTAGTAGCTAGTTTCAAACATGACATCGGTCACTACCCAGGGGGCCAATCACAGGATGAATATCCGAGTCCTGCATAAGATCGATCATGGCAGGAAAACTCAGTGGTAACGTTTGACTGTGAAACCGGTTGCCCCGGATTTGAAAATCACAAGGGAGCAACTGTGGGTACCCTCTCTGCTGATGGGTAGCTACTAGTACGAAATTAAGTCTAGGGTCACCTACCAACAACTTCAGATTACCAAATATTAAATGAAAAACATCATGTAACGTTTATTCTCTTTGGTATGAGTATAATCATCTCGCTAATTTACCGATGTAAATATATAGTTTACAACTTATGTCAGTCAGTAGCATATGTCATGTTAAAACACAAACAATAAGTACATACATCCATAATAAAAATTACAAAAAAATCTATAAATCTACAAAGAATCTTTCAACATAGCTGTAATGTAAATATTGAATTAAAGATGAAAGTACTTTTTAAAAATAGAAACTTCTGAGTAGTTCTTATTAAAAATATTTTGTACTTATTAGCACTTTTGTTATGAAGAGTATTTCTAACTGATCTAAAAAAACTAAAAATACGTTTGAAAGTGCATGTACAGTCAACATTACCGCCCTACATACAATAACAGTTATTAATTAAACTTCTTAAGATAAACTTGGTTGGATAGCTGCTAGGGTGTATTTATTTATTTATTTATTTTAACACATAGATATTGGTACAAGGAGGCACCAAATACATATGCGCCACACAAATCTCAATTAATTTGTGTGAGGGCTGTGATACTGCCCGGGTGCCCAAACCGAAGCAGGTGGTTTTATTAGGGGGCCACACCCCGAGCCTTCGACCTGAACGTCTGACCCACAAGGCAGCATCGTATGGAGATGCAGTCCCATGGTAGCCGGTGACCAACGATTGGTTCATACGCCATTTGTTCCCGCAGGATACTGGAGCCCATGTGCATCATTGGTTTGGGATCCGGTTAAAGCGCCGGACATTCGCTTTTCGTCCTCTCATTTTCGTAAACAACACCCCCGCCACGAGAAGGCAGTGAGTAGGACTTCCCTGGCAGAGGCTATATACTCATGGCCATGTGAGAGCGATTCAAGAGGGAGAGCGGACTCTCCCCACTCTCGGCGGTACCAGGGCATTTGGGGGTGCTAGGGTGTATATACACCCTGTATATACGCTAGGGTGTATATACAAAATTGATTAGTGATATTGAACTAAAAAGTAGTATGTAATCGAATTGGAATAAATAGCTTTTTGGAAATTGGATTAAATGTAATGATGGTAAAATAGATTTAAGAATTTTTAGTGTCACACCCAAATATCACATGATTTAGGCGGAGATACTTTGGAAATGTTTAATGATATGACAATCTAACTGAACGGAAATTTAAATTCCGATTCAAATAATTCAATATTCGCTAAGTCAGTCAGTCAGCTGCAACGTAGGACCAGGCATGTATATGCATCGGTCCAAGTTGCCATACCGCATTTGCACAACAAGATGAACACCGTATTCATAGAAGTAGTTAATTCAGTGGTGGTAATATACAGAAGAAAGATTGTATATAAGGAGATAGTACAGGAAGAAAGAATTAGTTTCTAGAAAGTAAGATTTGAAGTGATTTTAATCTCTTACTTTAAAGGAAGACAGAGAGTGTATACACCGACGCCATTGTGATCGATTCTGAGCCATGTCACCAAGTCTCCAACCATTGGTTAAGATAGTCACGCAGACCCCAACCAGATAGTCTGCATCTACCAACATGGCTCAGACCAGAAGTTGGTTACTTCAAGCACTGATGCCACGTTTTGGTTTGGCCGCCCCTAACTTTCTTCCAATCATCCCTAACACCGGTTAGCATTGCGCGTCGTGGTAGTCGGTGTTCAGGCATACGCAACACGTGGCCTAAACATCTCAGTCGATGAAGATTCATAACCTCCTCAACTGACTTACCATCATTCCCTTATACCTTGCGTTCAACCTCACTATTACTTACCGGTGATCCCAGCAGATGCGAGCAATATTTCTAAGGCACCTGTGGTCAAATACTAGTAACTTACGAGTATCTTCTACTCTTAAAAGCCATGTTTCGCAGCCGTATAGTAGAACGGAAAGAACTGCCGCTCAGTATACTCGACCCTTAATT